ATGCAATAAACCTAGTACCACACCAAGTACCTGTTAGTCAACCTACTAGAAAAAATTCTTCTTATATATACACTACAGGTTAATATTACGCATGGTGGATGGTGTCAAAAAAATGGGCCCTATGCCAAGAGGGTTTATTTTTTGTCTAAAAATGTATAATTAAATTTATAATCGATTTATGATTGTTACCATCTCCATAACTTACACACTTTTTTTTAAATAGACAAAAATGTTGGGAAAATTTATTATGCAAATTAGAAAAAAATAGACCAATCATGTTACGGGATTGAATGTATTGTACTCGTTGATGACGTCGCGAATTGCGAAATAACAACAAACAACTACCTTTCATGTCCCAGTCTGGGAACCAGTCAATTCGAGCGGATGCCACTTCGAGCGAAGGCCAATTCGAGCGGGTTTTTTTTTCGAGCGGATGCTAGTTCGAGCGGAAGAAGATCAACTTGTGCGAACAACAACCTGTGCGAGTTATATACGAATTACTTTTAAATGTCTATTATTTCTATTTTTGAGCTAACAATTTGCTCAAGCATTGCCTGGGAGGCAGGGGAAAGCCCCAGTCGGTTCCGGGGAAGACACCTATAACCTTATGTATAGCAAGTCGTATTCAATGGATTTTTAGGTTAACAAATAAAAAGTTCAATTTGTTTTGATTGTATATGGTAAGTGAATCCTATTGGGAATAGGAATTTCCTTTATAGCCTGCCATCTCTATCTTAGAGTAAATAAATAAATAAACAAACAAACATACCCACATTCATGAAAATAATGATATATCTTAAATTATACTAACTTAGTCAATGTTATCCTTTCCACATTAAAAAAAACAGTGGGTTTTGAACTTTAGAAGAAAATTGGTATGATGTCATTATTACTGTACTGTTGATACTTGTAACAGGGGCGGATCCAAAATTTTTCAAAGGGGGAGGGGGCACACAACAGTTCCAGAATAAATAAATGAGTAGCACATAACATTAATATGCATTGACATTTTTAAAATAGTGGCAAAACCGCCCCTGTCTCACACTACTACACCATTCATTTGTGCATCTTCTGACACACCTACATACGTAAAAATAATTTAAATTCCTATAGTGATTAACAATTACACAATTAAAGTTGCTCCCATTTACAAATATAGGCCTAAATAGTAAATCTACAAATACAATTTCAAAATTATATAATTCAATTACAAATATATATAGTTTGCTTATTTTAAATACAAAACCCCAATCAGTGGCGGATCTCTGGGTGGGGGGGGGGTAGTGAATATGGTGGCAAGCCACCCTTTGTTTACCGTGAAAAAAAAAATAATGGTCACTCGTCTTGTGTGTGTGTGCTTCTCGTGCACTCTAGTAAAACATACACTTTCTTTTTTAAGCTGAAAAGTGCGCAATTCTATTATAGTTTTAACTTGTTAGAGGCCATCTTGGTAGTCGGATTTACAAAGACTGTAATTCAAACATGGAGTAATTATCAAAAAGTACCAAAAAAAAACACTTTTCAGAACCTTAGTAATTAGAGCATTTTTTGCATTTAAAACAAATACAAGAATAGGGCGACGATAAATTCGCCCTTGTTCGCCATAATCATAAATTTTCTTACCTCAGCCCCAACCATGGTGGGGCTGAGCTCGTCTACACTCTCCATCTGTAAAGGTCCCTCTCTGGGCCCAGCTCTATTTCAAATTACTGGATCCGCCACTGGATATTTAAAAATTTCGTATGGAAATAAATGTTAATTGCATTGCTTAAAATCAATTAAAATGCTATAGGCGCCAGAGCTTCTCGGGGACTTCGCCCCCTGGTACCCAACCAAGACTTTATTTTTCATTTCGTTTCCCCCCCCCCCCCCCCCCCCCCACCCCNNNCGACGCCCTTGATTGTTTATTCCATCACGATAATAACAATTACCGTACCATTCAATAATAGTAGTAGGTATAGGCCTAGAGCATTTTTTGCAAGTGTTTTCACACGCATGGAATATTCAGTACATTTTCACGACAGGTTGGGCAAAATTGCACATAAAAGCCCCCTAATGCAAATCC